GGCTGCTCTTCTTCGGGTAGCGTGAAGCTTCAACGTCTTGTATTTTGTAAAACTTACCTCAATATAATGGCAACATGATGCCATTGCACAGAAGACTGTCCGAATAGGATTATATGAAGGCTTCAAAGTTATTGTCTGCTGAACACATGGTTTAGTGAGCCTAACTTTGGCACTAAACATGCTGAGCGAATGGGCGGGACTCATAAAATTATTGCGCGCTCACTATTGGTGGACTTCTCGCTTGCAACTGGCCAATTATAGTGCATATGGATTATGCGCCACGATATTTGAGATTCGGAGTACATGTAATTGTGATCCTAAAAGCCTAGCTCTTTCTCCAATTGACACAGAGGATTAATTCTTCTAGCGTTGACCAGTTCCACTTTGTGGGTTCTTCCCCCACCCCAATTAAACTTCAGATCTTAATCGAATTCATATGTTTTATGGAGTGTGCGTGCCTATGCAATAATTCGAGCTGACCAGTCGAACCAGTGCTTCTATCCCTCAGCCGAGTCTGGTACCGCCTAATCAACTTCTCAGAGATGGTAGGCTTAGTTCGTCCGGGGTAGTATCCTATGAACAAAGGTTTTCCCGTTAGATTTGGCCTAGTAAGGTAAAAAGTGCATTAAAGGATTTTGAACATCCCGAGTCCACCAAAACGATCAGCATTCCTTCCTTTTCGCGTAGCCCACTGTTCTCCTGTTATTTCGATCAATTTGTATCTATTTCTCTTCGTCACTTCTCTTACAGCGTCCACCATTCCCACAAGACGGCAAGAACCCTACCAGAGCAAAATAATGCTCTCAGTTGGAGTCGAGGATTGCTTTTTCACCAGGTAAATACTGGTCTGGAAATCGTGGATAGACGGACTTTAACACAATGAGAGTGTGGAGCTGCTGGCAACCAATCAATATGCATCTAACGCAGGAAGTGATTTCATTGCCTTCAAATTCCCGCGCTTCTACGATCAATCTATAAACGAAACCTTATCGATTCAAAACATCAGTCCGCTTTCAATCTGTGGTGAAGTTTATTCTTATGCTAGTACTCATCTAGAGCGGCCTTTACAATGAGGTCGCATCCGAGAACTCACAAGAAGAAAGGATCAAGTGATCGGTGAGTGCGACTTAATAGACTCAGTCAGTATCTCAGTATGTACATTCCAGTAGACAAGGCGATGGAAGTTCAAGAAGAGGTACGAGAAAAAGGAGGAACAGTCGAAAAAAGAAGCGTAGCGAATCATCCGATTCAAAAGATGGTGAAGAAGAGGTAAGACGCATTTCACGGACAGTAGCAATCACATAAGCATCGCCCGAGGGAAAGGGTTTAGGTCGTTAGGTCCACTCTGAGAATCGTGGGTCCTGAGAAGAACCGAATGTCGAGGCGATTGTTCGCTCAACATCCTGCATTGTAGTCTAGGAAAGATCAACTGCCTCAGCATATTTGTTGGGCCCCCTCTAGAGTTGGTGCTTATTTCTATGCGTTTAGAGTTCGCGTCAGGTTGGGGAATCATGGAGACCGCGATTAGGATATGTGTCGATTGGGTGTGTTCTCCCCTCACACCCACCGGGTCGGCGAGTTCGCGGGATGAATTGGTGCTCACTGAATGGTTTATCAGGGTCTGCCTTCACTTCATTTCTACCCTCTCAAAAAAGGTCAAACGGTCGGAAGTTCCCCTCCAGGTCGCCATATCGCAACAGGATCACCGCCCTGTAACAACTCTCCACAAGAGTCCCAAATACCTTTAGCACTTCTTAGTGGGTGATATCATCCGGAGTACACAGACGCGAGATCGGTACCCTCTTCAGAATTCCCATTCGTGAGAGCGTGTTCTTACGGGGGTTGGTGAAAATGTAGTTGGGGGGGGGGCCACCCATCCGAAAGCCAGCATATCAAGAAATTAACT